TTACAGGCACGCGCCACCATGCCCAGCTAATTTTTTGTATTTTTAGTAGAGACGGGGTTTCACCATGTTGACCAGGATGGTCTCGATCTCTTGACCTCGTGATCCACCCGCCTCGGCCTCCCAAAGAGCTGGGATTACAGGCTTGAGCCACCGCGCCCGGCCCCTATTTTATTTTTTTAAACATGGGGTTTCACCATGATGGCCAGGCTGGTCTTGAACTCCTGACCTCAGGTGATCCACCCACCTCAGCCTCCCAAAGTGCTAGGATTACAGGCGTGAGCCACCGCGACTGGCAGTTCCCTGAATTTTAAACCCTGTGGTTTTATCACCTGTTTAGACAAAAAATCTCAAGATGACTGTGCTTTCTACCTCCCAGGTCTCAGAGGCAAGTGCATGCCCAGAAGCTGGCCCTGCGCGTAGGGACCCAGGTGGGCCAGCCTTCGCAGTGTCCCGCTGGAGGCTGAGCAAAGCAGTGCTTTCTTTTGTGTCTGTGTTTTTTTCTTTTATTTTGAGACAAGAGTCTTGCTCTGTTGCCCAGGCTGTAGTGTAATGGTGTGATTTTGGCTCACTGCAGCCTCCGCCTCCCGGGTTCAAGTGATTGTCCTGCCTCAGCCTCCCCAGCAGCTGGGATTATGGGCATGTGCCCCATGTCTGGCTAATTTTTGTATTTTTAGTAGAGACGGGGTCTCACCATGGTGGCCAGCCTGGTCTCCAGCTCCTGGCCTCAAGTGATCCACCTGCCTCGACCTCCCAAAGTGCTGGGATTACAGGCGTGAGCCACCAGGCCCGGCCAAAATTTATTTTATGATTTTTGTAAGACACGGGGTTTTGCCGGGTGCAGTGGCTCACGCCTGTAATCCAAGCACTTTGGAGGCCAAGGTGGGCGGATCACCTGAGGTCGGGAGTTCAAGACCAGCCTGACCAACATGCTGAAACCCCGTCTTAAAAAAAAAAAAAAAAATTAGCTGGGCATGGTGGCGCGTGCCTGTAATCCCAGCTACTCAGGAGGCTGAGGCAGGAGAATTGCCTGAACCCAGGAGGCGGAGGTTGCGGTGAGCCGAGATCGCGCCATTGCACTCCAGCCTGGGTAACAAAAGCAAAACCCCGTCTCAAAAAAAAAAAAAAAAAAAAAAAAAGAGACGGGGTTTTAGCATGGCCAGGCTAGTTTCGATCTCCTGACCTCAGGTAACCCGTCCACCTTGGCCTCCCAAAGTGCTGGGATTAGAGGCAGGCGTGACCCCAGCACCGGCCTCCCTCCTGTTTTTAGTGGCCCCTCAGTGCCCCATCTGGTGGGATTTCAGCAGTTTCTCATTAGAAGCCGGTGCTGTAGGGGAGGTTCTTAGCAACAGGCACCATAGGACAATGGGAATGAGCTTTTGAGTCTTTCCATGGCTGGTGTCCGCTGGACACTAATGGGGAAGCCCTGGTCTCTCCTTCCCCCTGCACGGGCCGCTTGCTGCTGAGATCGTGGTGGAATAAGCCTTGTTCACACGTCGAAGTTGGTGGCTCTCAGCATCACTTTGTGTTTGTTGGCGACTCAGTGGTCGCTGTATGAGCTGTCCACTCCTTCTTGATTGGTCAGAGCTATTTACATAGTATGGACCATGGGCCCCCATCTGGTGTGTGTGCGTAGGCACCCACACACTCTTGTCTCTTGCAGTGGCTGGCTGTCAGCGATTGGGTTCTTCGAGACCAGCGTGGGCGCTTCTGTGGTCATGCTGCTTCCAGCCATCATGTTCTCCGTGTCGGCGGCCATGATGGCCATCGCCATCATGAAGGTGAGTCCTCAGCTTTGGGACGTTCACCCCTTATGCCTTCTCCATGAACTCGTCACCCAGCTGTCCCAGATGGTGAATGTCGGGGAGCTGGGCCCTCTCCTCGTGGTGTCACGCAGGACGCACTTCACCCGCAGCGGTGAGCTGGGGGACACTCCCAGGGACACTCCCAGCGCCCGGGTTCCTATGGGGCCAGGCCCGTGCTTCCTCATGCCGGGATTGCATACCCCAGAGGGAGGCAGGGGCTGCCTGTGAACCCCATGTGCAGGAGCAGCCGGGGCTGGAGCCTCTTGTCCGTGAGGGCGGGGCCGTGCAGGTTCGCAGTCGCAGGGTCCATCAGAGACCGCACAGGTGTTCAGCTGGGCCGATAACAGAAATGTCCAGTTACAGCCAAACACCAATTATGTTTGTTTGTTTTGGAGACAGTCTCACTCCGTCACCCAGGCTGGTGCGTGGTGGCACAGCCTTGGCTCATTGCAGCTTCCACCTCCAAGGTTCAAGCGATTCTCCCACCTCAGCCTCCTGAGTAGCTGAGGTGACAGGTGCGCACCACCACGCCCAGCTGATTTTTTGTATCTTCATAGAGATGAGGTTTCAGGCTGGTCTTGAACTCAGGAACTCAGGCAGTCTGCCCGCCTCGGGCTCTCAAAGTGCTGGGATTAGAGGCATGAGCCCCGTGCTCAGTTTCTATTCTCTGCCTCCCTGCCCTCCGTCTCTGCAGGTGCACAGGATCTACCGAGGAGCCGGTGGAAGCTTCCAGAAGGCACAGACGGAGTGGAGCGCAGGCACGTGGCGGAACCCACCATCAAGGGAGGCCCAGTACAACAACTTCTCAGGCAGCAGCCTGCCCGAGTACCCCACTGTGCCCAGCTACCCGGGCGGCGGCCAGTGGCCTTAGGGTGAGTTGCCACTGCCACCACCTCCTCCCCTTCACTCCTGCCACTGCCCTCGCTCCCAAGGGCTGGGAGTGCCTGGGGCCTGTCCTCCTCTCCGGGAGGGTGGAAGCCGATGGTGGCCATGGACCACGCCCCTCCTGCCGGGACCACAGAACCCGTGTTCGTCTCATCTGAGAGCGGAGTTCCTCGCAAGCACTGCCCAGCGGCCTCCGGCCTCTGCCGTCCACAGGACACCCTCTTGCTCCCGGCATCGTGTGGTCACCTTGCGGTCCGCTGCATGACCACCACGGCCTTGTCTTCAGGTCCCCAGGCCTGAGCAGCCAGACTCCAGGGGACAGATGGCAGCGGGCTGGCTGCCCTCCCACTCTCCCGGAGCTGCTGGTGCCGAGGCTGGAGGAGGTCTTACGGGGGACTGTGTTGCACGAGCCACCCACCCGTCACCAGAGCAGACGCCCTTGGCCCAAACCAAGAAGAGGCCTCGCGGGCAGCTCCCAGTCCCCACAGCGAAGGAGGGCCGTGCCAGCATCCCCCGATCCCTGCGCTCCAGTCTCACCCCTCCCCACACTCCCCGTACCTCGGCAGCTTCTGGTCCAGGGTACCCTCGGGCCACCCTGCCTGCCCCTGAACCAGGGACCTCGGGCAAGCCCTTTGTCTGCACCCCCAAGCCAAGCCGGGAGCACGGCCACTCCCCAAAGCCAGCAAACTGCAGAGGGCCGCCTTCCCAGCAGCCCCAACCCTGCAGGAGCGGCCTTTTTTTTTTCTATCTTGTGAGAGGGAGTCTCACTCTTGTCCTGGCTGGAGTGCAGTGGCACGATCTCGGCTCACTGCAGCCTCCGCCTCCCAGGTGGGAGTGGTTCTCCTGCCTCATCTCCGGAGGAGCTGGGGATACAGGCGTGCGCCACCCCCCCCGGCTAATTTTTGTGTTTTCGGTAGAGACGGGGTTTCGCCATGGTGGTCACACTCCTGACCTGAGGTGACCCGCACACCTCTGCTTCCCAAAGTGTTGGAATAATAAGTGTGAGCCACCGCGCCTGGCCTGGGGTGGCCTCTTATGAGGAGAGGGGACCCGTGAAATCTGTGCCTTATGGAGGGGTCTGGCAGCAGCCAAGATTCGATTGTCTTCTCCCCGTGTCCCCCCGACTCCCCCAGAAATGCCTCCACCCTCCACGGGGCATTTCCACAGCACTGTTCATAATGGTTGGGCCAAAAAAAAACGTTTCCTTCATCATTTCCTGCACTCTCTGGCAACGACTTTGGGGACACTCCCGGCTGCCGCCCCTCACCACCGTTCACCCCGGGACACTGTTGCCATGGGACACCGCTGCCCTGGGCCTCCCAAGACGTGGGCCGGTCCCCTTGTTGGTGTGGAATGCTGCTGGGTGCCCGGAGGCGGCCGTGGTTTCGGGGGGATGGCAGCCAGGATGGAGCACCCACAGGTCCCATGTCCATGCTTTGGGCCTGCCCCCCACCAATCTGCTACCAAGGGGCTCCCCTTCCCCAGCCTCACAGCTGTGTTTGGCTGTGCTGACGTAGACCAAGTCCCCCCCGGCAGGCCTGCCCCGCTTCCTGCCATCCACCCCCCTCCCGGTGGTGTGGCCCCTCAAGGCCTTGTTGGGATTTTGTTATGTGAAAATATACTGGAAATAAATGCATCTCTGCACCAGACCCAGGGACCTGCCGAATCTTCCGTGTAAGCATGGGTGCCCGTGTTCCCCCAGGCCGTCCCTTCCACGGAAGGACCCTGCAGCGCCTGGCCTTGGGCAGGGTGCAGCCAGCAGGAGCCTGGGCATCCCTGGGCCTCAGCCATGGGCCTGCAGCACCACCTCCTCCCAGGCCCGAGGCACCCTCAGCCAGTGTGCCCGGCGCTTACCCTCCCCTAAGCGTGGAGTCCGGCTCTGGCAGGCTGCACTTCTCATGCCACGGCCGCATGGCACCGAACACACTCTCCTCCCCGCCTCACTTTTTCTGTTACTTTTCTTCCCGTTAAAAATTCAATTTTTTGGCCGGGCGCGGTGGCTCAAGCCTGTAATCCCAGCACTTTGGGAGGCCGAGGCGGGTGGATCACGAGGTCAAGAGATCGAGACCATCCTGGTCCACATGGTGAAACCCCGTCTCTACCAAAAATACAAAAAATTAGCTGGGCATGGTGGCGCGTGCCTGT